CCCCCCTGCGGCTCCAGACCGCCCCCAGGCCCGGCCGACGCCACCCCAGTCCCAGATCCGGACCGTCCGCTCCGGGTCCCAGACCCCGCCACCCCTGGCCTAGGTTCGATGCCCCCTCTAGGCCCCAGACTCCGCCACCTTCTCCGGATTCCGCCCCCGCCCTCCCCGCACACACTCTCGGGGTGGTGGGGTGGTGTCGCCCTGCTGGCAGTGGGAGGGGCTTGGGACCACTCCAGGACAGGTGGCCCGCACGCCGTGACTCCCAGCTTGGGGAAGTCACCGGGAAGGGGCTTTCCGGCGCAACGTGGGGGTGACAGTGAAGCGCCTGGACCCTGAGACGGGGTCTCCCTTCCCCTCACCCCAGGTCTGCTGACCGCGGAAGTAATCGGGGCCAGCTCTCGGCACCAGTTTGGGTGGGTGGGGGGAGCCAGGGGGCCCGTGACCTTGGACTCGAGAGGCGGAAGCTGGGCGCTTCACTTAGTTAATAAATAAGTGCTTATTTACTTTTTCCTGCGAGTTGGGCGGCGGCTCACGGAGCCGACTTTCGAACAGGTTTGGTTTCGTCTCCTCCGTGGTAAAGCTGTTGCTTTGGGCGGGGGGCGGCCGAGGGAGCCCGCCGTGCCTGCCTGGGATGAGGGATTTTGGCATGGCGCTCGACGCCTCCCCGGGGAAGTGGGTCCGGACCGGCTCTGTAGGGGGAGGAGTGGCCTGTGTTGGCTGGTTAGCCGTGCCAGGCGTCTGTCTGCCCGGCACCCGGCGACCCGCGTCGCGAGTTCCGGCTCCTCCCCCTGGGGGGCGGGGCTTGCGAGTGCGCCCTGAGCCGGAGTGGGCGGGGCTGATAACCCCAGTAGCTGGAGACCCTCTTGGAGGTCCCGCGTCTGGTTCTCGCCCCCTCAGGTCGGAGTGCAGTTGAGAAACTGGGGTGCCCTGGGAATTGGGGGGTGCTGGGGAGTGCAAAGTTCCTGGAGGAAGCACGCTGGACAAGTGGGGTTCTAGCCAGCCGGGAGCAGGAACAGCAGGAGGGGTTGCAGAGGCGCCTTGGGGCAGAAGCACCCACTGAAGGTGAACCGCAGACCCAGGTTTGAGCTCAGGGTACAGACTGCCCCAGCTTGGCTGTTAACGATGGTGATGCATAGATCTTAGGGGGCTTCAGACTAAAATCTGGGCTTCCCTGACTTGGTGGCTCCTGTTGTTTCAAACTCAAAGTAGGAGTGTGCTGGGGGTGGGGGCTGCCCTTGGTGCTGAAGGAGAAGGCTTGGGGAAGCCAGCGGGGCGGGCAGTCCCCCAGCCCCTGGGCAGCCTGAGATCACAGGGTGCTGGGTAAGTAGGGGGTGGTACTCCAGAAGTTCACCTGGCCTTGGGTCATGCACCCCAGAGGAGCCCAGCACGGGAAGTGGGAGTTCTGGTGGGTGCCTGACCAGCCACCCCAGACCCTCACCCTGCTCAACTACATGCTCTCATATCTGCATGCCCCCCAGACCTTGACCCTTTCCAACCACAGGCCCTGCCTTTGTACTCTCCAGATCTGAACCCTGCAAGACCACCTCCCCTTTGCCCTCATCCTCCCATGAGAGAGACCCGTGCTCTGACCACACGCCCCGTGTTCCCCAGATCTTCGCTTTGATCGTGTTTGCCTGCATCTTCGGCGAGGGCTACAGCAACCGGCACAGGTCCGAGGAGACGACGTACTGCGTCTTCAACCGCAACGAGGACGCCTGTCGCTACGGTGGGGCCATCGGCGTGCTGGCCTTCCTGGCCTGTGCCTTCTTCTTTGTGGTGGACGTCTACTTCCCGCAGATCAGCAATGCCACTGACCGCAAGTACCTGGTCGTCGGAGACCTGCTCTTCTCAGGTATGCCCCAGGCCCTCCTCTGTGTGACACGTCTTGGGGGGCGAGCAGGAGTGGAGGGCCTGCCTTTGTAGCCCCGACTGCTGCACAGGCCTTGGGGGCTGGCTCCATCATTGGTCTCTGGCCTCAGTGCCTCCAGGCCTCTCCCTGAGCCTCCCTTCTCCCGACAGCTCTCTGGACCTTCCTGTGGTTTGTTGGTTTCTGCTTCCTCACCAACCAGTGGGCAGCCACCAACCCCAAGGATGTGCTGGTGGGCGCCGACTCCCCGCGAGCGGCCATCGCCTTTAGCTTCTTCTCCATCTTCTCTTGGGTAGGTGGGCTAGCTAGCCGAGTGGGCTGCCTCACGGGTGTGCTCAAGCAGGGAGGGGTCGTGGAAAGCTGGGGAGACCTCGTCTGCCCCCCAGCCCCGACCTTGGTTCCTTGCAGGGCACACTGGCTTTGCTGGCCTATCAGCGCTACAAGGCCGGAGTGGACGACTTCCTCCAAAACTATGTGGACCCCACGCCTGACCCTGCCACGGTCTATGCCTCCTACCCTGCCGCCTCTGCCGACGATTACCAGCAGCCCCCCTTCACCCAGAACGCAGAGGCCTCCCCCGACGGGTACCAGCCGCCCCCCGTGTACTAACTAATCAGCTGCAGCAATGGTATGGGCACTCACCATGCTGGACATTTCTTGTGCTGGCTGCTGGAGACCCCCTGCTGACTGAGACCTATACATGGGAAGGGGGGTCCCCGGCTGCCCACCCATTCACTCCACAGGGCATTTTTTAGAGAAGGGTTATGAGGTGTGGTTGTTTTGGGGTTTTAGCTGTGTTTTGGGTTGCTTTTGATGCTCCTGCTCCCTTGGGGAGAAGCTGGAAGGACAGTGGCCCCCTCCCTTCCTGCCACCTGACTCACGTGCCTTAGCCCCCAACTAGCTGAGCCTGGGCCAGCTAACAGGGTGTTCTGCCAAAGATGGAGGGGGTGCCTCACATGGCGCCTGCCAGCTAGTGTTGTGCTGAGCCTCCAGCCCCTCTCTACTCACTCAGGTTTGTTACCCTAATCCTGTGGGCATGGTCCCCTGGGGCTGTGGTCACCACTGCCTTGCCTGCTCGCTTTGGACTTTGGTCACCACCCTGGAGGGAGGGTATAGGCACTGGTACCTACCTTGCCACCCACCTGATTACAGGGGCTGGCTTTGCCCGACCAATAACACCCAGCTTTATGTAAATATCCTTCGACTCTTGACTCCACCGGGAGGTGTGTAGACACAGACCCTCTGACTGCACTGGGAGCCTCTGGCCACCACCTGCCTAGGATGGTTGATCAGGCTTGTTGGAGGGAATAAACCGTTTTTACTCTTCGTGGCTGCTGTGTGGGTCTCAGCCTGGGGTTCCAGGCAAGGAAGCTGCTGGGCATGCCATCTGGAGGCTGGTGATTCTGCTCCACCAACCCCCACCCCCTCAATCTAGGGCTTCCACCCTCTAACTGTCCTCCATCAACAGCCTAAAATTGCTGCCCAGCATGAGCAGGGCCATCCTTCTGGGGGTGCCTCTCCCCTCACCTTCCCCTGGCAGTGAGGGGCCCTCACAGGCCCATGGGCTTAGTACCAAGGGTCCTTCCAAAGACACAGAGGGGACAGCCCAGCCTACCCTGGGGCAGGAGCTGGCAGTCTACAGGAATGCTCCGAGTCCCGGAAGTCAGCCCCAGCTTCCCCTTTGAGTCTAGCTATCAACAGTGGCCACTGAGGTTTCAAAACCCTGAAGGGAGAACAGACAGGGCCACCTCTCCAAGCTCCTCCGACAGGCTGTGTGTTGCCTCTGACTCCAGACCCCCACTTCCAGTGGGTCCCCAGGCCTGCAGCTATGGCTTAGATACATGACTGGCCACCACCATGGATTCTGACTCAGTAAGGACCCTGAAGGACAGTAGGAGTGCCCAGTGGGTGGCCAAGGTTCTCAACTTGGCCCAACTTTCTCGAGGGGTCTCCAGTGGGCTTGTACCACTTGCCTTTAGTTTGTTAGCCCAGCGCTTAACTCATTCAACAAGTCGCCTTCCACCACACAAGCAGCCTGGAGGGTGCCCAGCGCGAGGAAGGTGGGATAAGGAGGCCACCTCAGAGCACTGGCAGGCACAGTGCCAGCTACTACCCTACCCCCACCCCAGCATGGCCCTCCTGGCCAGGCCGTCTGCCCAGTGTCCATCTCACAAACAAAACCTGACTCCAGGGCCCAGCTGCCCGAGCTCACTGCTCACAGTATCGTCTTTCTAGCCAGCGATGTCCACCCATCCTGCCCCAAACCCACCCAGGCAAAGCAGGCAGGCAGGTGGTTCCTCTTCCAGAGCCCACTTCCTGGGGGTGTCTCAGTGATGCCCAAAGGGCTGGGACAGGAATCCGCGCCCAGGCCAGACCACAGCCCAGGCTGGTAAGTCCTGTCCTGCCCCAACTCCGGATTCAATTAACTTTCATTTTAATATTAGGCATTCACTTGACAAAAAACGCAAAAGTCTTGGCCCAGCCCCAGCCCTACTTTAAAAGGCCAGGGCAGCCCTGGGCCCACACCCCAGTAGGCCCCTTGGGAAGGGCCAGAAGTCCTGGAGAACGCTGGTCTAAGTGCAGGAGGGCTGTGCCCCCAAGGGCAGTGGAGGGAGGACGTGGTTTTCCATGGGGCGGAGAGCTCCAGGAACAGGTGCTGGGGCTCCGGCTCCCCAGCACACAGCAGAAGCCGCAGAGGGGAAGAGGCCCGGGCTCCTGTCACAGGGCTGGGGCCCTGCTTCTCTGGAAAGAAAGGGGAGTCCCGGGTGGGGCAGCTGCAGAGGACCCAAGAGCTGAGGCAGAGTAGGGCACGGGGAGGGGAAGCTTTGTCTCGATGTCCAGCTCACCCCTGCCTACCCCTAGGACTCCATCAGGAGAAACCCTGGTGCAAGGGGCTCAGTGGGGCAAGCTGGGGGGCAAAGAGCTTCCGGGCCGGCATCTCCCCCAGCCTCCCCGGCACTGGGCAGTTCTCCTTGTCCTGCCCGGCAGCCTTCTTGAAGTAGCAGAGACGGCATACTGAGTGGTACTTGTCTGCCCCGCCGATCACCTCCACCTGCCAGAGACAGAGGGGGGTTGCTGTGAACAGGCCCTTAGTTGGCCCCCGTCCCCCAAGGCAGAAGCAATACCTTGGTGTGAATGGGTCCTCGGTGTGCGCCCCACCTCCCACAAGGCAGAGGCAACAACCCTCTCTCTAAACCGGGTCTTTTAGACCCCCTCCCTCACGCCCACCTGGGCAGTACCTCCTTCTCTGCACCCAGCCTCTTGGTGTAGGCAGCCTCGCGGAAACACTCCATGCACACGGCAGTCAGCTTCACCACGCTCTCGGCCAGCGGCACCAGGTTCAGGATGCTCCCGAAGGCCTGCAGGCCCCACAGCGAAAGTACAGGTGAGGACGCACCCGGGCTGCCCAGCGGCCACACAGGGATCTCCCCCTCGCTGTGGCATCTGTCCCCCTACCCATTCAGAGCCGTGGACAGAGACCTAGCCTGAGCAGCTCGATCCCGCCCCGCAGCACCAGGGGGCTTTGAGCTGACTGTCCGAGGGCCTGGCCCTGTGGTGCCCGTTCCTCCCTGGATCTGGTTTCAAGACTGCTCACCTTCCTCTGGAAGGTTCCATCCAAGGCAGCCACAATCACTGTCTTCCCAGCGTTGGCCATGGCCTCGCTGAACTCCACGATGTCGGGGAACTGGGGAAGGGGCACAGGAGAGGAGTGAGTGTCCCCTTACTGCCACACCCGCCCATGGGCCCTCAGCCTCCCACCCGGTCCTCCAAACCAGCCCACGGGGCCAGCCGAGGCTGGCTCACAGCCCAGGTCTCCCAGGCACCGGAAGCATGCCGCATGGCCTGATGCAACTTTCACCCTCAGGGTGGTTCTCTCCCTGTGGCGAGGACGCCTCAGCAAGGCAGGGAGCCCCAGCCCAGGGAGGGGTCTGTCTGAGCCACGCTCACCCTTCCCCACGGCTGTCTACCCACAGTCCAAGCATGGGGGGGGTGGGGGGAGGGCGATGGACCCATGCTGAGAGGTCGCAGCAAGCTGGGGGTAGGGGAGACACCTTCCCTTCTGGACTCAACACTCAGCTTCCAGCCCACAGTCCTCCGGGTCCCAGCTTCTCACCCTTGGCACCATGGGGTTGGCGCGCCCCCCCCCCCCCCCTGCCTTCCCCCGCCCCCCCCCCCCCCCCAGGTGCCAGCAGCATCCTTTCATAGCAGCCCTGACATGGAGGCATGCATTTTGAGTCTGGGGGACAGAACCAGCCCCGGGTGCCAACCACTGCTCCTAACCCTCCACACTGAAGCAGACGTCAAGGCAGACCCCAACTCCAGCCCAGCCCCCAATGTCAGGGCCTTGGGAAGATCCCGCTTGCTCCTTCCCGGATACCAGAGTCACAGCCCTGATGGACGGGCCTCAGCTGAGCCCCCAGTTCTCCCCCTAATTCAAAGTGTCGCTGCCAGCCCAGCCCACCGTTCCCCAGCAGCCTGACGTCTTGGATAGCTCCTTCATAGAAGGGCGACCACCCTCCCCACGGCTGTCTACCCAGTCCAGCTGCCCTTGCACCTGTTAAGGAGACACCTGTGTATTCTGGGGGACACCGCTGAAGAGGTCTTGGGCAGAAGCCAGATGTCACTTGACTTCTTGACTGATGCTTCCAGGGGTGTTGATGTTGGACCCAAGGAAGGAAACCCCGGGGCGCCCCCAGTTGGGCCTCGTGCGTGCTCACATCCTGCTGCCGCTCACGGCCGTTGCGAGGGTCCTGGCTTCCTTCCTGTGGCGCTGTCACCCACCGCGGCTGTGAGCTTCACCAGCGAGAAAGTGCTCCAAGCCCCCCTCGCTTTCCACAAGCAAGACTGTGTGTCATCTGCATACCGCCGGTTGTTAATAAGCCTTCCTCCCAGCCTGGCGCCACATTCCTCTTCTTACCTCAATCTTTAGTTACCTGCCCCACGTACAGATGGAGTAAGTGTGGTGCGAGGATACAACCCTGACACACTCCTACCTTGCCTGGTCTTGCTCTGTTTGTACAGCTAACCACAGGAAGTCCCCTGGTCCAATGCCTCACCCTGGGTGTGTGTGTGTGTGGGGGGGTCTCCCTTGTTTTCCGGACCCTCCACTTGACTGATCGCACCCCTTCTTCTGCAGCAGTTGGGTCTTTCCCGGCCACGTGTTTGAATCATGCAAAACAACCTCACTGTCCTCGTTCAAGGGCAGCTGTATTCTTTCTGCCGCAACTCGGTGGACACGGTGATATTTGCCGACAGGACTCGGCTGCCTGGATCTCAGGCCATTGGAGAGGCCGTGGCTTGAGCAACGAAAAGCACACCACACAGAGCGGACCCTAAGCTGCTGCCCCGTCATTCTGGTAGCACACAGGCCCCGCCCATGCTCAGGTGATGGCGGCCCTGCTAGCAACAATGCCTGCTGGCACATTCTTCAAAGGGGGGTGGGTGGGGGAGAGACCCACTTCTCACCTGCACGTGCTGTCTGTGAGAGCTACCAAACGACACACTTTAGCAAGAAGAAAAACAAACCCATGTGGAACGAGCAAAAGACACCATGGGTCCAGCAAGACACAACGCTCGCCTACGTGAGCTCCAAGAAGTCTCATGTCCTGGCACACCGTCAAAGGAACGCGGCTTGTGCTTCCGCACGGTAGAATTAGCTCCACGCAGTAACACGGGACCAGGAGGCAGCGCTCACACTCCACTTACTCCAAGGATGTTCACTTACCTTGTTTCAATGTAAATGCATAAGGTAACTAAGACAGAAATGGAAGCGATGACATCCAGGCCAGCGGAGGAAAGAGAGAAACAGAAGAGAGGGGACAATGAGGAAGAGTGACCAGGCGACTTACAAACTGCCCTTCATCAATGCCGATGACAGCTACGCCCAGGGCCTCCTGGGTCACATCCCGGAGCAGGCAGGCAGGCAGCGCCTCCATGGTGTTCCTGGGAGGGAAAGCCAAGGCGTGAGCAAGGCCACATGGATCGGGGAGCCAGGAAGGCCACTTGCATCCTCCCCCGAAGGAAGGGACTGGGAGAATACAGGCCTTATCCGAAGCCCGCTAGGGACGAGAAATTAGTGCCACCCAATAGCACTCCGGATGGAGAACCGAAGCGGTTCTGTGCCCTGTCTAGTGGCCTGGCCCACAAGGCCCTTTTACCAACAGATGCAAGGCTGGGGGGTTGCTAGGAGACTTTAAGGGACCAATGAAAACGCGTTCACTTTGGAATCAGAAGAAAAATAGAACTCAACTTGGATTGTATGTCTTACAATGCACTTGCAATATATGCATTTTAATTAATGGAGGAAGGTGGTTCACTGGTAGGATCCTCGCCTTCTATACAAGAAGCCTGGGTTCAATTCCCAGTCACTGCTTCTCATGAGCAGCCACCACCCGTCCTTCAGTGGAGGCCTGTGTGTTGCCACAATGCTGAGTAGGCTTCAACACAGCTTCCAGACAGACTAGGAAGAAAGGCCTAATGCCCTTTTATATATGTCAGCCAGTGAAAACCCCATGAGTCACCACCATCTGACCCTTAGCTGAGGGCGGGGTGGGGCATGGGCGGGGCAGCATCCTGTCCTGTCCTGGTCTGGGGCTCCCCTGGGTCTGCCACAAGGGCTGACTCCCCAACAGCTCACAATGTTGGGGAAAAACCAGCCAAACTCAACATCCTGGAAGCAATTCCATCTCACAGGGAATTGTGACAAGGCAGAGCTGCCCCTGTGGGTTTCTGTAACTCTTGAAATGAGTAGAAAGCCCCGTCTTTCTCCCAAGGAGCGGCTGGTAGTTTCAAACTGCTGACCTTATGGTTAGCAGTCCTACGTGTCACAGCCACTAGGCCACCAGAGAAGGGACCCATGAGGTCAGAAGTAACATCCCTGCCTGCCCCGGCAGAAGAGGGTCTGAGCCCCATCTACATACAGTCAAGCTCCCAGAATGCCCGCCTTCTCCAGACCACAGCCAAGGCACAAGCAAGGCTGGTGTCGGCTGTCCTGCAGGAGCAGCGGGCCTCGTGGCAGTGACTGAGAGGCCAGCTGGCGCCCGTAGTGGGAACATTCTAGCATCGGAACAGGATGTTTTGGGTCCCACTCTCCCTGAAAAGCCAGGCAGGCTGAAGAAGAGGGCTGCTCTTGGCAGCCCCTGGCTGCCTCAATGGCTTCTACTCCCACCTGCTCCTAGCAGCTGATGTTTGGGTTTCTTGTCCCTGGACTGGCTGGGCTTTGCAGCAGTTTGCAGCCATAGTGAACATTTCCATGACGCTGAGTCCCTTTCCGCCCCTAGTGAGTGACCCTATAAGACAGAGTGGAATTGCCCCTCAAGGTTTCTGCAGGTGCAAATCTCTGTGGAAGCCAACTGCCACATCTTAGGGCAGTCGGCGGTCCCAACGGCTGCCCTTTCGTCAGCAGCAAGGCGTAACTGGCCTGTCACCAGGGCTGCTCACTTAGAACAAAGAGTCTATTTCATGACTGTTTTGTTTGGGGTTGCCACCTGGCCGTACCCTGCTTCCGGATATAACAGTGGGTCTAGCACCGGCCTGATGCACTTTATAGCCTCTCCTCACCTCAAAGGGAGGAGACCGGGGCAGCAGGCCTCCTAGCTCGGGTGCCAAGTGCTCAGTCACTGCTGCGAGCCGTCCCGGGCTGCTGCCAGCCTGTGCTAAAGATGACCTGCCCCCCACATGACCGCGCCTGGCCAGAGTCCTGGATCAGACCCACTCCAGAAGTTCCCCTGTTGAGCTCTGCACAGCATTGCCTCCTCCTGGCACAGCATTGCCTCCTCCTGGGGTTCCTGCCCATCCGGTGCCTCCCAGAGAGGAAAAAGCAAACTCTAGCAGCCAAGCCAGGGAGAGGGAGTCCAGGGCTTACTCTCCCCACCCCCACCCCCCACACAGAGCACTTCCTGGTGCTAGGATGGGACTCAGAAGCCACAGCCCCAAGCTGCCATCACATACCACCTTCTCTGGACTAGGCGCTTCAATCCCCGGCCCTGCCACCAGAGGCGCAGACATACATGCCCCGGGAGCCGAGTGTCTCAGAAGTATTGGGCTGAAAGCTAGCCCGCTGCTGAGGAACAGACAGAAATGGAGCTCATAGGCAAGGGCCTGTAGATGGAAATGCCCATGTGAGAGGCTCCGGCAGACAGCGGGGCACAGCTGGCAGGGAGGACAGGCGGCTAAAAGCCACGGTCAAGCACGGCCCGTTTACATCCTCTGCAACAAGGCTTTCTCAAGCACAATGGCTCTGAATTTGGGCCAGAGCCGCTTGCAGTGTGAGGCTGTCCTGGGCACCAACTTACAGGCCCCCTGGATTCTCCCCTCAACTGGGACAATCCCAAATGGCTCCAGGCACCATTCAGTGCCCCGTAGGGGCACATTGCCCCAGCTGAGCATCCCTGCTGGAGGTCCCATTCCCAGCCACTTTCCCAAGCAGCCTGGGAAATTCTGATGGGAGCCAAGCACCAGCAGGCACCTGTCTTCCTATGGGCCATCCCCCAGGGAAGGGTGCTGTGCCCATCCCGTCCTGTGTCCAGAGGGCTCAGGCAGGCCAGGCCAGGGACTGACCGGTCATGGGTTGACAAGCCACTGCCGTAGCGGATGTCCTTAGCGTACTTGATCACCAGACACTTGTACTGTGCAACCTGGAAGCGGCGGACACGTCTCATCAATTCCGTGCTGCAAGGTCAAAGGGTAAGGTCAGCGAGAGGCCACAGGCTTGTGGGAGGCAAGATGTCATCACACCACAGGCTCCAGCTGCCCCCTAGTGGTTTATGGGCAGAATAACAGCAGTGAGGGTGCAAAACCAAAAACAAAACTTAAAAAGCCAAACTCTGGGCCACCAGTACTGACCCACAGAGCCTCTCCGGGGCAGACAGTTCTACCTTCTCCCCAGGAGCGGCTGGTGGGTTTGAACTGCCAACATTTTCCAGTGGTTTGCTTAACTCACCGCACACACATACATACACACACACACACACACACTCACTGCTATCGAGTAGATTCTCCAATTCAGCAACCCTCTATGACAGAGTAGAATTGCCCCTGTGGATTTCCTAGACTAACTCTATGGGAGCTGACAGCCTCATCTTTCTCCCGGGAATGGGTTGGTAGTTTTGAACTGCTGACATCATGGTTAGCAGCCCAACCCACCACTTCCTGTGCCACCAGGGCTTCTCACTCACTGCCATTGAGTCCACGCCAACTGACGGGGCAGGGCAGGACTGCCCCTGTGAGTACCCCAGGCTGTGCAGCCTTTCTCTTTCGGGGCGGCTGGTCGGATTTCAAACTGCCAACCTTGAAGTTAGCAGCCCAATAAATAACCACTAGCCGCGGGGACTTGCTTAGTGCTTCTTAAACTCACTGTGATGGAGTGAAGGCTGGCTCACAGCACCCTCAGTGGGTTTCCCAAACTGTTTACAGGAGTAGAAAGCCCAGTCTTTCTTCCTCAGAGCTGCTGGTGGTTCTGAACTGCCGATCATGCGGATCAAAGCCCAACGTGGTAACCCCTACACCACCAGACTCCCTAGCCACCCATAAATCCCAAGAAAATGCCTGAGCCAGCTGAGATCCCGGCTAGGCATGCACCAAAACAAGAAACCAAGCCAACAACCATCAGGCAGCTCTGAAGCAGGTGATGGTGGGATGGGCGGAGGAGGGATACTCTCCTGCTCAGAGGTGACCTCACCCCAGACCAGCCTCCCTGGGCAGTGGGCCAGAGTCAACGCCACCAAAGTTCTCAGCAGCAACGAAAGCATTTTGCCCAGGGGCTAAGAAGTCCCACCCAGGTGCTGGAGTCACCCCACAGGGTGAAATAAGGCAGTCCGGGCTCAAGAGGGTTCACAGCCTTAAGGGCCTGGACTCGGTATGGGAACCAGCCCCGTCTCCTCTATGTGCACGCAAGTAGCCAGGCGCACCCTCAGGGGGGCGCCCACGGACACACACAGGCCCCCCAAGTAGGGCACCGAAGTGCTGAGCTCCGGGAAGGGGCGTGCTCGATGGGAGAGGGCACTTTCTGCTGGCCGGGATTCATGGGATTCCAGGGAGGGAGAAAGGATTCCTGAGACATTTCCTTGGAAGAATGGGTCCTCCCTGTGGGGCACCAGCCAGAAGTGGGTCCCGGGGAGGACGAGGACCTTAGACTGGAGATTTGGGTCCTCGAGGGACGACAGGCTCCCCGGAAAGGAGGGGCCCCGGCCCACCTCAGCCCCAGAAGCCATTACCTTTTCCCTGAGAACATGGGTCCGAGGATCACCTAGAAGAGAAAGAGAGGTCACTTATGGGTCCGCTCCGCGCACTGGCTGGACTCGGCCCCGGCCGGACCCCGCAACCCGCCCTGCCCCGGCGCTGGCACCTGGACCTGGCCGCGGGTCTTGCTGGGGGAGCCGGGCAACACGGTGGGCAGGTTGATACAACTCATGGCGCGACCAGGACACTCTGAATCACTGACCTCCGCCCGTGGCGCGCACAAATTCCCGCGCCGCAGCCTCCGCCCGGCCTTCTGGGCGCGCAGGCCAATCAGAGGGCCGAGACCGCACTTCCAGGGTCCAATCACTACCAGGCATATCCTAATTAGAGCCCGCCCTCTCATGGATGAAATGTAACGTACAGCGGGGTGGTGCCTGTTCGGCGGGAGCCCGTCACTCAGGCGGGTGGGTGGGTCTACGAGGGGCAGGGCTAGAGCGGGGTGACGCAGCGGTTAAAGCGTCCGGCTGCCAACGGGTGCATCAGTGGTTCGAACCCACCAGCCGCTTCGCGGGAGAACGATGTAGCAGTCAGCTCCTATAAAGGTTGCAGCCTTGGAAACGCTCTGGTGGCAATTCTACTCTGTCCCGTAGGGTCGCTATTAGTCCGGCGCAAAATGTTTGCTTTGGGGTTTAGACAGGGAGCTGGGAAAT